ACAATATATAGAAATAAATTATAGATATATTATACTCTTAAGATACCATCTTAAGACACCATGTAAAAATCAACAAGTAATGACAATCAAAATTTTATTCTAAGAGCCGCGTCAGAACAGAGCATAAACAATTTTTAAATCAGCTATTATAATGTCAATCTTCAAAAACAAACCGCCAAAAGCTAAGGCGAGTACGTATATCACTATTTAAATTTCTTTAAAATGCTCACATATGAATAGTAGAACACATTCCGTGTCCGATTGTAGATTCAAAAACTATTGGTTTGTAATTGAATAGTAATTGATTTAGCATTTCAGGGATAAGTCTTTTATTCAAATATCTTTCTATATCTAGAATTTTAATATTCTTCCATTAAAATTCGTGATTGTGTTCCAATCTATGCTGAGTGATAAATGTTTGGCAGGAAATTTTTTCATTAATTATGTTCATCGTTTTTTATGTTCATTTATTCTTGTTTTTAATAACCAGCTCATTTGCCTAACGTAGATTGCACAATCCCGACATTGTATTTTATACACATTCTTATTGGAACTTGAACGGAGTTTTCTTTTTGAGCTTTAATGACCCAGCAAACATAACTTGGCACTGTTATGTAATTTTTTTTGTCATTATTTAGACATCTCTGTTTTATAAAAACAAGACAACTTTATGGCGTAAACGAGATATTCTGATATAAATATGATAATTTTGTTACATTTCTCATCTTTATTATATATTTAGCACATAACATAATTATGTAAATTAAATGTAATTAAGTTACATCCATATACCATTCTATAAATAAGACAACAAATACAAAATACATTTAGATCACTAAGTCATAATAGAAAAAAGATGTAAATAATACATCTTTTGGTTACATCTACAGAAATGTATACTGTAGTCTGCAACAGTAATATAACTATTGTAAAATTATGAAATTATACGTTGCTAAAAAATTACATCACTACGATGTAACATAATTTCATAAATTATACGTCACTTTTTCAGTGTTTGAGCATATTTCATTACATTTGTTTTTACACTTTGAGACAAGCAATTTTATCATATAAACATATTTAGGGACAATAAATGTGATAAATTGATAAGAAAACGATTAATCAATAAGTACTATTGCAAATTATTTCTCATTATTTGTCAATATAATAAATAATCAAAATAATCAGTATCGCTAGCAAATAAAGTCTATTCAAAAGATAGATTAGACAGTTTATATAGTTTACTTCTATTATGCTATCAATTAATTATTTTTATGCAATTAGATAATAATATATACGATTGTCGTGTAGATTTTTTCTTTATAGATATAAAAATATAAAAAATAAGTATTTAACATAGATAGATCATTACCATTTCCTAACTAACTGAATAAATATCAGCGTATTATTTCGTTTCCATGTAATCTCTTCAAATATTAATAATATTAAACTGTCAGCAGAAGCATGAAATTAATATAAGGAATAGTTACAATAAAAGGTATAAATAACGTTGGCAATGACTCGATCATAAGTGTACGATTAGCTCAGCGTAAGTATATTAGACTATTGTTCTAGGGATCATAGGTTCAAATCTTGGCGGCGATACAATTTCCAATAATTAATTGTAAGTTAAAAAGACAAGAATATAGGTATGTGAAACAGTAAATAATAAATTGAACTGAAAAAATAAAAGTAAATAATAACAAAAAAATTATTTTTTTTTTTAAGATATAACAGTAATCTTTTTATTACATAAAAAAATAGTTTTTATTTAAGAAAATGTTTTGTTACATATATAAAATATATTTCTTTCATTAAAAAAAAGAGTTGCAAAACTACATAAATTATTTTTTTAATTCTAATAGCAAGAAATAACCAAAAAACTTCTTCAAATCAAAGAAATTGAGTCAATGTCAATAAATAACAAATAAATAACAATTTCACCTATTTGTGATGTCACAGTGACAAATTTTGCATTGCTGTTTGAAAGTCCGTTAGTTTCGGTACTTCTCAAGTAAATGAAACCGAACGTGAAGGGTCCTTGCACAGCGTGAGAAACCTTGCAATCTTTGATGCAAGAAGTAGGCAAGAACTGTAACCAACGGAGCTGGGTTGCGAATATCTCGTAACGAGAAATAACGGAAGGAAAGGAAAGAGATTGCAGGATGCGATGAATTGAGTTTGGTCCACGCGGAATTGACACCACTTATTTGTTGAACAAGGTTTTACTAGTTGCACAATAGATACACTCGTGTTCGGTGTCCACGCGCGGAGCACCGGCGTTACACGTGATCAGTCGCCACGCGCGGTGCACTTGCGGAGAAATTGTCCGGCGGAGATTAGCTCCGATGTCGTTGTCTTATTTCTTCGTGCACTTCGCGAACGCGTATCGTGCGAGGATCCAATGTCTTGTCGAACCGAAGCGTTGCTTGCGTTAGTTCGACTTGCCTTGTTAACAATGGCCGCGTGCCCTGTGAGAGCTTCCGTGTTCGTGGAGCGCGAAACGTGGCCCGCTTTACGGAAGGTACCGAGCTTGTCTTTACGGTAGGCACCGAGCTTCTGCCCACAAGACGGAAACGGCCGATCGTCCCGAATCGAGTGATTCGGTCGATCGCCGAAAGTTGTCGCGGGCTATTCTTCCGCCGCGACATCGAGTGTCGCCAAATAATAATGACGACGTCGTCACGAATTACGAAGCGTGTATCGACTGGTAAAGACGTCAGTTTGTACGCAATTTGTACTTTGTCTAAACAA